AAGTGCTATGTGGATTTGTGGGATTAAAAAAAAAAGATGCAAAATTTATGGGATATGGATGGCATTATGAGATGGAAAATTGCACACTGAGAACTTGATTCCCCAGCTCTCAAAGGTCCCTGGGCAAGTCATTTCTATCCCAAAACACTTTGGAAAAGGCTTCCGAGAAGGCATTACACTAGATGGTAACAACACTGGAGGGTGGCAACCGGGGCATGCCTCCAGAAGTCAAACACATGCATCTCAAACAATACAAATATCAGAGAAGAAATAACGTGTTTGCTGCCCAGCTGGCATGGTCCAACATGGAATAGGCATGCAAAACATGGCTCCTCGACTAGCCACACTGACATAAGCACTCCACTTGCATCACATGTAAAAAACCACAACTCCTACAACAGACTCATCATTATCACAAAAGGAACCCTACAGTTCCATATTGTATCATCATTTTACAATCCTGACCTCAGGCCACAACTGTTCCTTAAACCTAATGAATCTTCACCAGCAGTAGTTAGTCCAATAAAACATATCACCTCACGCACCTTGTCTCTCCAGTATCTTGGGACAGACATGCTACAACAAAACTGTATACAGAAGATACATGTCCACTCCCTCATTAGGCTGTGGCCATGCAATGAAGGGATCAGACATCTTCATCAAGAAGCGATCACACTTCATCAAAAGGCTATTTCACCCCTGAATGCCGGCATGCTGGCAGGACTCCCCAGGCCAGGCAATAAATTCATCCTCCTCAAGACTTCTATGTCCCCATGGTACATTCCAATCACAGCAGATTTCATTTTAACAGTGAGTCAAAGGAAAAGAGGCAAGACACAACCAAGCATGACAAATAGAAAGCATTGCCAATATCCGCAGACATGGCACAGTCCAGCTAGGAAGATCCTCACAAGACATTATCTGGTGTTCAGCTGCCTACTAAAATCAAAAGAGGGACAAGTATATATTCACATGGTGAACTAACACACCCAAAGATCTGTAGGAAGAACAGTGTCAGGTAATGGGATGTGCTTTCATGAAGGCAGAAAACTGTGTATGATGTAAGATGAAGTGTGACTTTCAACTGTTTGCTAAATCTACCAGAAATACACCAGACATATACTGCCAGTGAATACATGTTCTCTATCATTCCATAGAGCATAAACACCAAATGGTACCTTGGGGAAAATCTAACAAGCAGGTCAATAAGCAGCCAAAGAAATGTATGTGTGTGTAGTAACTGGAGATAGGTAGAGCCAGCTCTCTAGGGCACCATGTTCATTTTTATAAATGGTGTAATTTAGATTTGACCAGAATGAGACTTTGTATTGCTGCAAAACCCAATAAGAATAGTGGGCTGGGGATATTCTCCCTGAAAATTTTGAAATAACCAGAGCAATTCCTGCATCTTAGAAGATTTAAACGTTTCAAAAGACAGATTTTGCATAGACTATCCGATACATTATTGGTCTGTCTTTCCTCCAGAGGGGAGAGGAGGTGGTGGCTAGCTTGTGGTGCCAAATCTCTTTCTTTTCTCTTCCCCCTTAGAGTGAAAGAGAAGCAGGTGCGGGGATAGATATTTCTGTAGAGCTTGTAGATAGGCGATTTCTGGCTGGACACTGTCAGGTGCTGCTGCTGCTCCACCCACTAATACCCAGAAACACCTCAGCCAGACATCAGGTTCTCGTGGTTCTCCCACTTCAGATTTCCTAGCCTGCTGAGTCTTCACCTTTCTTGCCAAAGAGGAAGGGGAGCAGTGTTCCCTCAAGCAAAAGGAGAGCGAACTAAGATCCTCCACACTTGCTCTACAAAATAGCATCCTTCGCAGTGTGACCTCACACGCACCATACAGATGAGGTCACCCCTGCGGAGGATGGCATGTCCTGTGGAGCAAAATGGCATCCTCCATACAATGTGAGCTCACATGTACAGTGCATGTGAGGTCATGCTGTCTGGGGTCCCAGGAGGAAATATTTCATCGAAATGGGATTGTGCCCGCAAAAAGTTTGAAACGCCTGGTCTAATGGTTGTAGGGACATGCGACTTGGGGTGACTCGAGGTATTTTGTCATTTACACATCCTCAATTTGAATAAATAACTCAGATTTAATAGGAAATGACATCACAGGCGCCTGGGGACTTGCTTGTGCCTCTGTGAAGCATGTTCTCAAAAACACACTTCTGTAGTGTTATAAAGTTCAGTCTCATTGAGGTGGAATTTCTAAAAATGTAAATTTACACAGATGCTTTTTTTAAAAAAAACTTCAGCTTGGAATAAGGAACTGGGAGCAACTTCAGGCTTGTCCCTTACACAAACCTCTCACCAGTCAGGCTCCTGCATCTGGATCATTAGTTCTACAGGAACTATCAATCATAGGTGGAAGCTACTCTAAACCTTCAGTGAGTCTAATTTGTCTGGATACCATCATATGGGGGAATGAGAAACAATCGTTACATGGTTGCTGAAGCTGAAGGAAGCTACTACTTTGGGGTGGGGAATGAAACTCCATTATAGCATTCCACAAGTTCTTTTCCGTTCCAGGGTAGAGGCAAGGAGGCCGGCTTGCTAGGTGTCATGATTATTGATTGCAGACATGCTACAGAGATCAGCAGTACTGGAAGTAGTAGGTACCTATTATGTCCTGCAAGGGAGACAGCATAACATTACACTACGTTCAACAGCGTTTATTGCTGTTTACTCACCTGTTCAGGTTACCTATTGCCCTTGCCCTTCTCTTGCAGTTTTTAATAATTGTACACCACAGTAGGCTATGGAGCCAGTGACCATGAAAACACTCCAGTTGGTTCAGAATGCAACAACTTTCCTACTCAGCACATGACTCCCCACCTCCTCTCTTCTCCTTGTTGGCTCTGAGTGGAATGCAGAGCTTCATAGTTCTAACCAGTGTTGTGTTTCACAGCCACTATGATCCGTCACGCCCAGATGCATTAACTGTTTGTTTTTCCCCATGTAAGCGTTATCCTGTCAACTGTTTAAATAGTAAAACTTGCTGCCCAGGGCCATTGAGAATAAAGATTTTCAGGTTTTTTTAAAAAATGATGGTAGTGATGCTATTGTGAAGATATTTGTTATACTTGGCTCTCTACAATTCTTGCTGGTTGAAACGCTGTTCATTTAAACTGTTTAGTACCTCTGTAAGCAGTGTCAGGATGAGCTCCACCCTGACATCTGGTGGTGAGGTGTGGCAAGTTGTGGAAAAGAATTTCAGGGGCCGATCTCATTTGCATAGGCACACCCACCCTGCCTAGAATGAGGCCATAGCTGCCCAAATGGTCACTTTGGCTGCTGTGGGTTCCTCAGTGTCTCTGTTATTGGGGCAGGAAGAATAAATTATTACCCTGATTTTGGGAACTGTGCTTGGAACTGTACTTGGCCTTTTGTTATGATGGAGGGACTCACCATCAACTAAGTGGCACTCGCTAGGCAAGGGTCATGGGTTCCAAAACTCTGTGAATTGAGAGAGGATGGGGACAAGTATTAATACTTGGTGGGATGGGGCCCCTTGGTGAGGGCCTTACATGCTACTTGCACTTCCTCCTCTCTCCACTGTGGAATATCAGAGCTAATTTTGATTTCATTAGAAGTCTAGTTACAGGCTGCTGAGCTCGCTTTGGGCTAACAATGCACCAGCACTGAGGCTCCCCTACTAATTCACCAAAGAGCTGAACTGACTAAGAACTGAAATCACTGAGCGTTGTGTTAAGTAGTGGGGGAGCCTGAAGATATATTGTGGAGCAGTTTGCGGGACGGCTGGAGTGCCTTGTGGACAGGCTGGTGGAGCAGTCGTAGGATGGTGGGAGCTGCTGGTGGGACGCGGAGCAGTTTGTGGACCAGCTGGTGGAGCAGTTTGTGGGACGGCGGGAGCTGCTTGTGGGCCGCGGAGCGGAGCGGAGCTGAGCTGAGCGAAGGAGTTCGTGGGGCGGCTGGCGGAGCAGAGCGAAGGCCTATGGAGCTGTGGGGTGATCAGCTTCCGATCATGTAAGGTGCCTCTTACCCCTGTCCAATCTCCACCCAGGTTGGGAGGTAAAGCCCCGCAGATAAACTTTCGAACTCTGGGGCTGCCCTGACCAGGGACAGAGACCTTTGGGTCATTGGACTTTTGGGACTTTGGGTGATTTGGGGTTGCTGGACTCAAGAACCAAAGGGAAAGGGGCATGCCCCAATTTGCTTGGGGTGGGTTTTTTTTGCTCATGGGTTGTGTTATGAATCCTGTTGGTGGTGTTTCCCCAACATAATGCCACATTGTTTTTCTCTGTTATTAAAAGGCTTTTTGCTACACTCAGACTATGTGCTTGTGAGAGGGGAAGTATTGCCTCTTGGAGGCACCCAGCGGGGGTGGTATATATTTGTCCCAGGTCACTGGGTGGGGGCTCGAGCCGGTTTGCATTGTGTTATTGGAATGGATCCCCTAGATATTGAACCCGGCCCTTGTTGCTGCCAACTCTGACGGGCAGAAGGGTTACACCTCTTTCCTTAGAAGAAGATTATGAAAAAATTAATGTAACATTGTTTGAAATTATACTAAAAGCCCCAGCAATTTAAAGAATCAAGATTACCACAACACCACAAATTCTGCCTTTTTATGTTTATACAAAATCACTAGGCTGTGTCATCGGCATACATGAGGGATCTACACTCTACACCTTGGATCAATATTTCCCAAACTTCTGAAAGGTAAGTTCCCCCTTCAGGAAATGAAACCAATTATGCCTTCCACAGCTACACCATGTGTTATTAAAGGCCTATTAGTTTTAATTGATGTGTCTTCTGCATGTCCCTCCTGAGCTAGCCCTTCATGCCCATTCCCCTACTTCGGGAAATACTGGGGTAGATCTTCACCCATGGTTCTCAACCAGGGGCATGTGTACCTCTAGGGCTTCGCAGAGGTCTTCCAGGGGGTACATAAACTCATCTAAATATTGGCCTAGTTTTACAACAGGCTACATAAAAAGCACTAGCAAAGTCAATACAAACTAAAATTTCATACAGACTTGTTTATACTGCTCTATACACTATAGAGTATACACTGTACTATAAGTACAATATTTATATTCCAGCTGACTTATTTTATAATTATATGGTTAAAAAGCAATTTTTCAGTAATAGTGTGATGTGACACTTTTGTATTTTTATGTCTGATTTTGTAACCAAGTAGTTCTTAAATGAGATGAAACTTGGGAGTATGTAAGACAAATCAGACTCCTGAAAAGAGTTCAGTTGTCTGGAAAGGTTGAGAGCCACTGCCCTATGATACTTCCTCTCTTTTCATAAGTATTTTGACAAGCAGTGAGATAGTTAGTAACATTGACATTTAAAGCATTATTAGCGACATCTGAGTTAGCACCCATTGAAATGCATGGAGCAGTTCACACTTCAGTGCTATTGTTTCAAGGTCTCTGTAAGCTTGGACAGACATCTTTCCTTTGGTTGCACTCCAGATTTTAACAGTTTTCTTTGCAGTATAATAGTTAGAGACTTCATTTTGTTTTAAATGAAAGCACAGACTCTGAAGAACGTTGGAAAGGTCTGTATGAACCCCTCAAAATTAGTGCTTTACTGTCCTCCTTGGACATGTCCCTCACTTTGGGGAAACACTGCCTTAGATACACAGATACAACATTTCAAATTACTGCCTATGCATGGAAGTGAAATATTCTGCAGAACTAAGAAGTAAAGGCAGTGGCAATGCAACTTTTTCTATTCAGCCCCAATTATTGTCCTGGAGGAACTACTTTTAACAATATGAGATTAGGTCAATCTCTCCATGTCCATTAAATCTCACAGTCTCTTCGCTGTGAGAGCCCATAAAGGTAACAGCTATGTTAATTTGTGACCTCGATACCCATTACCTATGGTACTGAGACAGGTCACTACATTAACTTTTATTTGCTTTAATGAATTACGTACATATGTTGAGGGGAGAATATGCCTGTACTGATGGAAAGAAGAGAGAACAGTTGAGGATAAAAAATACTGAGTAACAGACAGCTATCAGAACAAGTATGACATCTTTAAACACCTAAAGTATCATATAGAAGAGAATTGATCTAAGGAAGAAATAAACCTGAAGAAATAACCCATTATGTCCATTAACTGTTAAACATGAATTTTGATTAGCTGGTATCTGACATCTTCAGAGCAGTGTGGTTTTGGTCCCTTCTCTTCCGGTCTCTGACACCGTCCAGATTGTTGAAAATACCAGCATACTCTACAGCAAGGAGTAGCACTTTCTTAGGTACAAAGCTGAGGAGACAAACAGCATTTCTAGTTAGTCTTGATGGTATTTTTTAACTATCCATCCACTAATTCTAACTAACAAGGAAATAATAAATTAATACTACATATAAACATAAAATCAAATATCTGTCATGGATGGTCTAGGTATACTTGGGGTCCTGCCTCAGCATGGGTGGATGGTATAGATGACCTCTTGAGGTCCCTTCCAGCCCTATGTTTCCATGATATAATAGTTTACATTTCCAACATTAGTCTTCACACCACATTTAACAATCCAAGTTTACAGATGAGGAAACAGAAGAGAGAGATTAAGCCATTTGACCAAGAGCACAGAGCTAGTCAGAGGCAATTTTAGAACTTGGGAGTTCCTGACTTATGGCTCCAAGTGCCTTTCTGCAGATCACACTGTCTTATAATTTGTGAAAATCCTTGAAATAACTTTTACTTGTGTATACATTTATCTGAGAAGTGTGTTGGAGGCAGTAGTTGAAACCACCCTTTCTTCATAGTTCTGTAGGTAACTAGTCTGAAAATTGATAGCCCAGCATCATATCTTATTGCACATTTTTACTAGCTTTGCATTCTGTTTAGCTACCAGGTATTTGGTGGGGAGGGGGGGAGGGGAAAGAAGTCCCATTCTTACTTTTTCAAAGAAGAAAGGCAATTGGTCAGAGGCATGAACACATAAAACTTCTCCTCTCGAATTGCATCCACGATCTTCCTGCCTGCATACTCTACATCCAAAATAGGAAGTAAAAGTGGCCTCCTGGTAAAATAGGACATGTAATTATTATAAAACTGTAAAACTTTACTCCTGGAATCACTTACTTCAAAACTGATAATTTCCCTTCTTCCTCCCACTTCAAATGGAAAGTTTTGCTTCTTGCAAAAAAGTAAAGATCCTCCATTCTTAGGCCAGGTTTTCACTTAACATTTTTGACCTAGTTACATCACTCAGGAGTGCGAAAGATTCACACCCCTGAGCAACATAGGTAAGCTGGCCTAACCCCCAGTGTAGATGATCTATACGGACCTTCCATAGGGCTTGCATTGACCTAGTTACTGCTTCTCAGAGCGGTGGATTAACTGGTGATGGAAAACCCCTTTCCATTGCTGTAGGAAGCACCTACACTAAGGAGCTAAAGCCGCACAGCTGCAGCACCATAGCTCTGCTGCTGTAGCACCTGTAGTGCAGATCTAGCTTTAGAGTCCCCCTGTAAGTAAAATAATTAGTAAAAACTGTCGAAAACTGTGAAATTTTACCTAATAAATAGCATTCATACAGGGCCCGTGCTGGAGCCCACTGAAGTCAATGGGAGTCTTACCCATAGTTTATTTGGTAAACATTTAACATGTAATGCTCTTTTGTGGCTAAGTTGTCAGATCTCTGTATGTGCAAATGCACCCATAAACTCTGGGCAGCTGTGTGGGCAATTTATGCACTCACATGCACACAAAGAGGTGACAAAATTTGGCCGTACATCAGACTGGTTGCCTTTTATGATCTGATTTTCATTTGGTCTTATCTAAGTACTATCTGTAGCATAACTTCCTCAGCACCTCATCTGCCAACAACGCTTCTTGCCTGCCTGAGTGAGGGCAGTTTGTAATGCCAGCAGGTGTCCACTACAGGCTGATTCAAGAAGAAAATTTTATTTCAAGTAGGCCACTGAATTGATGTGGGTCACTTTGAGATGGAATCTGAAATAGTGACCTATAAGGCAAGGCTCCCTATCTTGCTACCAAATCCAAGCTAGTCATCCGCGTTTGAGTGCACACAGTGCATGAAGCCCACACACAGGATTAGAAGGTTTGTGAATTGTACCTACCCCACAGTGTCTGGTATTATTAGACTATGTCTACATTATGGATCGTATGCCAGCATAGCTATGTCGGCATAGCCCTCTAGCATAGACACAGCCAACACCGAGAGAAGGAGTTTTTCAGTCAGTGTAGGAACACCACCTCCATAAACAACAGTAGCTACATTGACAGAAGCACTCTGCTGTTGACATAGCTGCATCTACTCTGGTGGTTTTGTTGGCATAGCTGTGTCAGTCCAGGGTGTATTTTTTTCCCCCCACAGCTGTGACTGATGTAGCTACGCTGATATAGTTTAAGTGTAGACCAAGTCTTAGGCACTTACATAATTATATCTGTCTATTGCATATACCATACATTCGGACCTGTACATTTTTCATGTGTTCCAGTGAATGATTTCAAGTTATCTGCTTCATCAGAGGCAGGGACTAAACCCTGCTGAGCCGTCACTCTTGCAAATATGATGGGGAAGCTCCCCACCTAGGCTCTTGCTGGAATGTTTGTGTGTCTGACATGGCAGGGCTTTCCCCTAGTTTCCAAGCATATGCTGCCATGCCCAGTCTCCTTGAAGTATGAAGTATTGTCCAAACGTAAGCAAGTAAAACAAACAAAAACAAGTCAAACCGCTCACCTTATCCCCTACGGTTTCATGGGCTCCCCTCCCAGGGTCTTTGGTAATCCCCCTCCTTGCAGCTTCCCAGTCCCAGCCAGCTCCCTTCTCAGCCACTCCTTGTTCACTAGCATTGCTCTCAGCCAGCTCTTCTGTTCTTCTGGAACAGCAGCTCGGCTCCAGGGCATCCTTTCTGGGCAGCTGGCCGCTACCACAGGAGTTAGCTTCACTCCACTGTGGTTCCTCTCTCCTAGTTACTCCCCCTCCTCCTGTCCTCTGACAGGCCTTTAGAGGCCCAGGTGTAGCCGCACCCCCTTTTTTTGGCTTTACTGGCCATAGCTGCTCTGACACAGGGAAGCTGGACCAACTTAGCCTGCAGGGGTCAGTTACCCTGTGACAGCATCCTTCTTTACTCTGGGGGCTGGGAAGAGAGCCCTGGAGGGGACACTGGGCAGAGCCCCAGACCTGCCAAGTACTACTTCAGCTGCTTAGGTTTGCATGCAGACAGCACACTGAACTGTCCGAATGGTTACTGACTGATGAGCAGAGCCATTGTGGTAGTGCACAGAAAAACCAAGAACAATTGCATTGCTTGAAGCTGCTAGACCAGTGCTTTTGTCTACATTGGCACTGCAATGGTGCAGTGCCATTAGGGTGGATGACATAGTTGTCAGTCTTGCTCAGAGGAAGAGCAATCACAATGACAGTGTGAGCACCTGTGCACCATTGGTAGCGATTGTATGTGGCCATATGACGTGTTACAGGTGGCTAGGGGGCTGGAAAAGTGATTGCAAGGCCAATATCCTCTAGTGTAGGAACATCATAAACCAGTACATGTTTGACTTCAGTGACCATTACAGATGTTTTAAGGGGTGACTCAAATAAATTTGACTAAGTTCTGTGTTTCGCCTTCCAGAGAAGCAGCACTAAGGCATAGCTCAGGAGGACAGGAGGCAAAGCTGGCTTTAAACCACCTGTGTATTTCTCACATTTTGAGCTGCTCTGAGGGCTGGAATGGCCTCTGATGTAAATTAGAACAGCTCCAGGACTGCTCTGACTTATGGCAGTCTTCCCAGAGCCATCTATGGGTTACTCCATATCCTAGAACAGACGCAGCTTCCCCTTCTATATGCAACATTCCCCCTTCGTCTTCCTGCATACTCCTATATAAGTTTGGGCATGAGTTCAGGCACTAAGGCTTTGTTTATGCTAAAGAGCCTATGCCAGCATAACCCCCTAGTGTAGACACAACGTACATTGACAGGAATTTTTCTGTCAGCATTGGAAAACTTCCTCCCTGAACGTCATTAGCTTTGTCAACAGAAGCACTCTTCTGTTGGCATAGCTGTGTTTACACTGGGTTTTATTGGCAGAGCTACGTTCCCAGAGGTGTCTTTTTCACACCTCTCACTAACATGGCTAGGCCAGTACCAGTTTTAAGTGTAGACCAAGGTTTAGTGTTCTGCATTTCTCAGGCACATGCAAAAGTGAAATAAGCTGAAATGAACAAAGGCCACTTTACTTCTTAATTAGAGCATCCACCTAGGGGTATAATTCACTTTAACTAATGCACTTTAAATTCAGCTTAACTTCTTGTGTAGACAAGCCTTCGGTTATCAACACACTACCATGCCTAATTTTCACCTGCCTGAAAGAAGTGTCCAGTTCAGGCATTATCCAAAGCCAGTTTAAGTCACTGGGCTTTGGTTCATGCACCTCAATGTCCCTCTTCTTTACAGGTAAGTCAGCTGGACCACACACATGCTGAAGAAATGCATTTCTGAGTAAGAGTCCACAGCCAGTAAGACTTTTGTGCCGTCTGTGCTCGTGTCAGTTACTGGTCATGTGTGCTTAAGTGGACTCATTATTCATGGCTTTGTGCACTTATAAGCCATACAAATGGTATTAAAAAACAAAGCCAACTTTAAAATGGCTGGAGACTGAAAAAATGATTTCTACTGTTTACTAATTATATTTTCATACACGCTGTGACAGACTGACAATTTCCTGCAATGTCCTGAATGAATTTCATTGAATTAAGTTAAATCATATTGAATTACGTTAATACTTTTGGGGTCCATTATATTAAAAATGCAATTGTGTATGTGTTATTGTAGCATTGTATGTATTTCCATAGGAAGAGTAAATAGGAGAACAGCATGGGCTGATAAGGCAAATGCACTCAGGCTATAACATTTTCAGAGAAGCCACTCCCCTTGAGAGGCTCACATATACTAGTTCAAAGTGGTTTATCCAGGGACCAACAGACAAAGAAAAGGTTTTTGGATAAATAACTTGGTTTTCAACTGGCTTGGGCCTTCTTCCTGAGCCAACAAATTGACAGAACCTCTGGTCCACGAAGGCCCCCAATCTTTAGGGTGGGGTTGGAAGGACTGGGCAAACTGAGGCCCCATAAAACTGTGCTTGTTCTGAACTCAAGCTGTGATGAACTTGTGATCACAAAGGAAACCTCTGGATGTGGTGTTGAAGGACTGCTGCTGCCAGAGCCCATGTTAGGATTGGGGAGCAGGGGGAATTATTTGGTAAGCTTATTAGCATGCGTCTAGGTTCTGTATTGATTTTAATGTGTTTTCTCTGTAGTGTTTTTACCTTAAGAATAAAGTCGGCATGCACAGGAAGTGTTGTGTGGTACCTTATTACTGTAGCAATTATACCTGTTAACTGTCTCTGAAGAGAAAACGAACAGGTGTCCTCGGGCAACTTGTCTGTGCTGGGAATAACAGAGTGAAGGCAGGGAACTGTGCTGCTTGGAAATACCTTGGTCAGAAGAGAGAGCTATGTGGATCTCCACACAAGAAATACAACAGCTGGGGAGCTGGAAGCATGAGAGTGGGTGCCCTTGGCTGGACCACTGAGGGAGAATTAGACCACTGAGAGGGCAGTTGCCCTGAATGGTGACAAATGCTAGATCTAAAGCCAGCCATTTTTAGTATTCCACATGCAATTGCTTAATATGCAAAATATAAGAAGTTTTACTTACGAGACACGAATACCCGTGGATAATTCTGTATTTACGAAAGAAGGACAGACGATGGTGGTTTTAATGCCTTTCTTTCCTGCAGCCTGTAACTCAAAAGCTAATGACTCCAGAAAGCCAATTATTGCAAATTTACTTGCACTATAATCTGTAAAGAGAAGAAAAAAGGAATATTCAAAACACATCATTAGCATCATAGCAAGTGTTACTGCCTGAATTTAAATTTTTAGAATAAAATACTTAAACTTTGATGATAATGAGTTATGTTATGCTACTTTCTATTTTGTCAAAGGGCCCAGTTGTGCAACCCTTACTCATGTTGGTGAGCATTTATTGATGTGAGTTCAATGGAACTATTCATAAAAGAAAGAGCTCACTAGCATGAATAAGGTTTTCACAACTGGATCATTAGTTTTTCATAGCATAAGACTTATAATCTGACAACATACTCTGACAAGAGTCGCTGAGATGTTGAAACATTTCAGTTTGTTACTGGAGCTCAGGTACAGCACTGGTATGCATGGAAAGAGCATCCTGGATATTTACATGCAAATAACAGATCAAACATCCTATTAGTTTCAGAACACCTGGATCCAGTACTACCCCAAGAAGCTTACACTGGAACAGAAACTATTTCCTTTGCTAAACTCTAAAGGCACTACCTTCTCAATGCTGCCTTTAAAAAAGAGGATTCCCTTCAGACTCTTCATCCAACAAACCACACTTTTTCTCTTCCAAGTTCTCATTAGTGTATTCTTCCCCTAGCTCACCCATTACTCCCTCAGAATCTCCTTTGGTGTCTCTTCATCCTCAATTCTTTCATGTCCAATTCCTTCTCTTCCCTGGATATATCCTCAGCAAACTCATCTGCTCCCAAGACTCCCATTATTATTAACCTCTGGTAGCAAGAACTCTCAAATCTAACTCTTGTCCAGTCTTGTGGCTCTAGTTGTCTTAGACATCTTCTCTTGGATGTCCTTCTGCATGTCAAACTTGATCTTTCCAAAACTGAAATTCTCATCTTTCCTACTAATCCCTCCCCATGTCATCTTCCTCCATTACCAATGGCAGCTCCATCATCCTTCTATTGCCCAGGCTTGCAATGTGGATGTCATTAAGGTTCCACAAACATCCTTAATACAGGCTTTTCCTAACTTTTGGTGTTTGTCTTTTCAACTTTAACAACATTCTTTTAACAAGTTTTTTTTTAAAGAATAAAAAGGAGAAATATTATATTATACACAAGTGTAATATTCCTTTCCCTCCACTTGTGCTAGAAGACTAATTTTAATAAATGACAGCGGGTGTAGTCTTATTCTTTGAAACAGTGTGTTACATGTGCAGGAGTAGCCCCATTTTATAGACAGAAAGATTCTGCCAAATCTAACTACTCAGATATGCTGACAGGAAGTGTAATTAAGTGGCTGAGAGTTAGGACTGTCATGTTAAAGACATGATTACATTCTCAGATTCTCAGTGGAGTATGTGGTCTTGCCTAATAGAAGTTAGGAAGAATACAGAATTATTAACACCAATCAGTAGAAGAAGCAAGACATGCTCCTAATATCCTGGCTGCTAGCACAATGGTATTTTGAGAGGAAGTATGAGAAGCTGGATGATCCATTTTGTCTGTGTGGAATGCAGAAGTGAGAGGTTGGGAAGCATACAACATGTGGATGGTTTGTTCAGAAATTTTAATAGCAAGCTTTACTGAGAAAAACACAAAAGGAAAATGGAGAATTTTAACAGCTTATAACTCATTGAATCAGAATGGATTTTCATGGGGATCATAAAAGGCACCTGTATGACACCAGGACCATCCCCCTACTAAATATAAAGTTCTAGTTGCAAACCATGAAGGCAACAGAGCTCTTTGCAAAATGTCAGAAAAAATGATAATGGGAAATATTAGGCAATGTTCCTGAAGGGATCACTGCTGTGTCCCCTGTGATAATTGAATTATCTGTTTGCTATGGTGCATACTGCTCTTTCCAGTCCGTGACGCCTGCAGGGGGCTTGTCTATGCTAAACAGGTATAATCATCACAGTTCTCTCCTTCAGTCTGCTCATAATTTTTACAAATACTTGCAGGTTTTTCATGAGTTTATACTATCTTTGCATAATAGATTAAGACAACGTTCCTTTAAAAAGCTGGATGAGATTTCAGAAGTAAAATGGTTAACTCTGAGTATACATTTACATTAATTCAGAATAGCTCTACAGCACACTAACCTGTCAGTTTATTGGCACCAATAAGTCCAGTTCCACTTGAGATACTAACCAAGTGTCCACGGTTACAGGCAATCATAGCTGGAAGGAAGGCTTTGCAAGTCTATGGAACACATAAGAAACCACACAATTAGGTATCAGTTAAAATTAGTTCATTCTATAATTAGGTTTTACAACTTCAATTACTTTTCAAAGCTTCATTTTTGAAACTAGGAGATATAAGATAAGGACTTTTCAAGGAGTAAGCTTTCCCCTAAAATCATGGAGATTTGTCAGCGCAGAGATTATTCTTATTTCATCCGCTTAGTGTTTCCTTCCGGTTTGACTTTGCAAGACTCACTGAGTGTTTTAAATTAGGTTTCTCCAGTCATAGTGATCCACTAGGGGGAGCTAGAAGCCAACTTGTCAGGCAGACGGAGGCAAAAGGATGGTAATCGCAGGCAGAGAAGGCCTGTTAGCCATGCGGCAATTCTCAAAAAGGGCCATATTTTTGGAGTTTAATGTATCTACCCTAAACAGGCCCACATTACACATCATTTGAAAACTTATTTTATGTACTATGGCAAGACACCTTTCACTTCAGCTGGCTTGGTGTTTCTCCCTCTGGCTGTGGGAGCCTGGTGTAAATCAGTGCCACTCTGGCAGGTTTTTAATTCCTCACTTTGGGTTTTTTTTCAGTATTTACAAGGTGGACTTCAGGGTAGGCCAGAGGAGCTCTCCTGAGCAAAACAAAAAACCAAATTCACAATGCAAAAAGAAATACCTTTCCCTGCCCCCTCTCCGTGGCATTGCCTTACTACGCTGACTTCTCGTTGATAGTTCTTCCCCAAACAGAAGTTAACTTGGGTCTTTCACCTATGGGGAGGGGAGCAGTCTTCCACCCAGGAGAAGCCTTGCCTCCCTGCTGCAACTAGTCCTCCTGCAGCTTGCTTCTCATCCCTCCCTCACACTAGAAGAGGTTTTTTTTAAGGATCACCAGAGGCCCTTAATTGGTTCAGGCATCTCTAGCTAAGCTAAGAACTTCTTTTCTTAAGAAAAGAGGGAAAAGGGCCTTCACCATTCTAGGGCTGATATATCTGCCTTCCACCCTCTCTCGTGCAGGCGAGCCATGCTCGCCTTATTGCCGAAGAAGCGGGACCTCCGTGACTTACGGAATTGGTGTCCTGTCTCGCTCCTCAGCATGGACTACAAAGTCGTAGCCAAAGCCATCTCGCTGCGGCTGGGGTCCGTGCTGACGGACGTGATCCACCCAGACCAGACCTACACCAACCCGGGCTGTACCATCTTTGATAACCTCTATCTGGTCCGGGATCTTCTGGAGCTTGGGTGTAGGGATGGTCTGTCGTTCGCCCTCCTGTCCTTAGATCAGGAGAATGCGTTCGACAGGGTGGATCATGGATATCTTCTGGGCACTCTGTGAGCGTTAGGCTTTGGATCCTGGTTTGTGGGCTTTCTCCAGGTGCTGTATGCCTCCGCGGAGCGTCTGGTCAGGCTCAACTGGACCCTGACCGAGCCGGTCAGCTTTGGGCACGGAGTACGGCAGGGATGCCCCCTCTCTGGCCAGCTGTACGCTCTGGTGATTGAGCCCTTCCTTGGTCTCCTCCGTCGGAGACAGATGGGGTTGGTGCTGTGAGAGCCGGAGCTGCGGCTGGTCCTGTCAGCGTACACCGACGACGTGCTCCTCATGGTCCAAGACCCGGGCGACTTGGTGCGGGTGGAGACTTGCCAGGGCGTCTACTCAGCAGCTTCCTCCGCTCGGGTCAAGTGGGTCAAGAGCTCTGGCCTGGTGGTTGGGGACGGGTGGCAAGCGAGCTCCTTCCCACCCGTGCTTCAGGCCATCCAGTGGAGCGCGGGTCCTCTGCTCGATCTTGGCATTTGCCTTTCTGCCACGCATCCGGCCAGCCGTTGGAGAACTGGCATGGTTTAGAAGGCAGGGTGACAGAGCGGCTCTGGAAATGGACAGGACTACTCCGGTGCCTCTCCCTTCGAGGGAGGGCACTGGTGCTCAATCAGTTGGTCCTGTTCATGCTCTGGCACTGGCTCAACACCCTGGCCCTGGCCCCGGATTTCCTGGCCAACCACCGGACGGCGATTCTGGAGTTCTTTTGGCCAGGAGTGCACTGGGTCTCTGTAGAGGTCCTCCACCTGCCCCTGGAGGAGGGAGGGCAGGGCCTGAAGTGCCTATGCACTCAGGTCCATGTCTTCTGCCTCCAGGCCCTGCAGAGGCTCCTTTATGGTGCAGGCAGTCCGGCGTGGAGAGTGCTGGTGCACGCCTTCCTGCGCCGCTTCTGAGGGCTCTGATACGACTGACAGCTCCTCTATCTCCATCCTCTCTTGGCTGCTGTTCTTCTACCAGGACCTGCTCCGGACCTGGAAACTGTTCTCGGCGACCAGGTCCATGGCGGCCACCGAGGGGGCAGATCTCCTGGTGGAGCCCCTGCTACACAACTCCCAGCTCCCTGTGCAGGTGGCGGAGTCCCCCTCGGTGCGCCAGAGGTTGGTCCTGGCAGAAGTCACCAGAGTCAGAGACCTCCTGGACCACAACCAGGGAGACTGGCTGGATCCCCTGATGCTTGCTCAGCGCATGGGGCTCTCCAGACCTCATACTCCCGGGTGCATACTTCAGGAGGTGAGGGCCGCTTTACCACCTGCTGCTCGGGTTTACCTCAACCGGGTTCTGCGAGAGGGCATGCCCCACCCACCCTCCACCCCGGGCCCTCTGGACCTTTTCATCGGGCCCCTACCCCATGGACCCAACTGGCCCCTCTGTACCTTCAACATGAGCTGGCTGCATGATTTGCAGCAGGTTCTTTTCCAGACCACGCCAAGGAAACATCTATACATGCTCGCACTCCACACCCTTCACTTCGTCACCCTTGTGTCCCACCCTGACACAAAGTGGCGGGACTTCCTGCCACCTCTCGAGGGTGAGGAGCCCTGGTGGGTCAGCCTATATTCCACCCTGGTTCCGAAGCCCACCGGGGATATCAGTTGGCGGCTCCTTCATGGGGCCGTGAACACAGGCGTGTACTTGGTGCGGTTTACCCCTGTCCCTTCTGCGGCGTGAAGGAGACCCTGGCGCACGTTTACTTGGAGTGCGCCAGGTTGCAGCCCCTATTCCGGCTCCTCAAAAATATTTTGTTATGTTTCTGGTTGCACTTTTCCCCTCACCTCCTTATCTATGCACTCCCTATTTGTGGCCCCACAAAGCCACGGAACCCCCTGGTCAGCCTCCTCCTAGCCCTGGCTAAAATGGCCATCTATAAAACCAGAGAGAGAAGGTTGGTCGATGGGGTCTCCTATGACTGTGGGGCCTATTTCCGATCCTCTGTTCTTTCACACATCTGGGCAGAGTTCCTCTGGGCGGCGTCTGCTGGCTCCCTTGATGCCTTCGAGGAGCAGTGGGTGCTGTGCGAGGTTTTCTGCTCGGTGTCCCCGTCCGGTTCCCTTCGTTTGACCCTTTGACCTCAGTCCTGTCCCTGTTTTTTCATTAGTTGTCCCCCAGAATCAGTTGGTTTCCAGGTCCTGTGGAACTTCCCCTTAGGCTGGGGGGAGGTCCTTTAGCAGTGGGCGGGCTTCCGACCGCCCATCTCCTGCATCCCAATAGGACCACTCTTTTATAGCTGTGAGGTCTGACTTTGCCACAGTACGTTTAGATGAGGTATGATCTGAAGCTGTTAGTGGTGCCGTAAGCCTGCAGGCCAGGTGAAACAATGGTACCCAGAATGAGAAAGTGTCATTTTTTTGCACTGTTCCAGAAACACTGCAACATGATTACTGTTTAAGTTAATTTCAACACCTTACTGTGGTGTTTATTGGTCAAACCTACTAAACGACAATTTAATAAAAGACTTTTATTGGTTTTGCATGGGCAAATTTTTTTTTTCAGAAGTGATGAAGCTGTTTAGCATGTGGCAAAAATGGTGAATATCAACACTTTGCAATTTGCAAACATGAAATACTTTGACAATTAAGAATATGTGATGTGAAAACATCTCACCAGTGATTATAAAGCTTCTATGCAGTATTTTTGATTAAAATTTGCTGGCCAGGTCATTCTCACATTGAAGATATTGCACCAGTATCAGTAGACTGTGTGTCCATAGCCTGCACTGCATAATGGATAGATAGAAATGTACGCAAATTCCTAATGCTTCACCATTAGTAAGCTTTTGTACATACAGCACAGCTCCTAGTCTGCCTTGTAGAAGGTTTTAATTTGTAATTGTCTATGTATGTAGTACTAGCCTTTGAAATATTCTAGAAACTAGCCTTTTAATTGACTTATGCATAGGTCAGTATTAGAGATGACAATACATAGCTTCATATTATGAATATACAAAAACTATGAGAGAAAGAAGTGGCATAACAAAAGTAGTAAAAACAAAGTCCACCAACAAGTCCTTGCTCTGCATTGAAGAGGGGTGAAGAGCATGTTACAACTTTACCACCTGTCACGGGGTAACTCACCACACTGTCACCTCCTGCTGGGCGTTTCAGGAATTTGCTCAGTCCCAGCGGGTGCATCCTCGGGTGGTGGTGGCTCTCCCATCCTTGCATCCATCTACAGACCCATTCTCTCCTTTCTCTCAGCGTCTGCTTCATGGCACAGCCCTCTGGTCATGTGTCCATCCGGTTTCCCCCCCTTCGGGGGGCTTCTTCTAATAATAGTCCAGCTGCTCCTCACAGCGGCTTGGCAGTCCACCGCTGGGCTGCTCCTTCATCATCTAGTGGGGAGGCCCTGGCCCAGGAACCCTGCAAACAGCAGCTTCCTGCTACCTCTTCCTTCGAGCTTACTGTCTCTATTCCCTGGACAATTTCCCCACAGCCCCAGTTCCTTCCGCTCCTGCCTCTGGCTCCAATTCCTTTGCCCTTTTCCCAGGGCCTCAAGCCTATAAGTCCTGGCAGCCTGCCAGGAGCCCTCTAGGAAGCCAGTTGTCTCCCTAGGGCTCCCTGCAGCAGACTCCCTCACTCTGGGCTGCAGCTTCCTTTCATATGGGCCAGCTGGGCCCTGATTGGCTAGTCCAGCTGTCGCCCTTATTGTCCGCAGTCGCCATCCTAATTAGCTGTTTCCCCTGCAGCCACTCCTTTGGCTGCCTTGCA